GAGGTGGCCTTTTGGCAGCTAAGCCCCTCCCTCTGAGCCCCTCCTTCCCTGGAATGCCTTGCTGCCTTCCCTGGCTGAGGGAATTGCAAGGACCCCCCCCCACCTGCTTCCTCTGCACAACACCCTTGTTGGCTGGGTGCCCCGATGTTACGCTTCCGTGGAGAGAATGGCTGTCCTGCTGACGGGGCTGGGCATTCTGGTGCCCTGTCTGGATGAGGCCAAGGAGGAGGAGAGAGGCAGGTGCCCTGCTCTGCAGAGTTGGCGGAACTAAAAGGGGCGCAACACGTCCTGTGGCCTTGATCCAAGGCTTACTCCGTGGCCTCTACGTCTGTAGTGTCAGGGAGGGAGAGGATGGCAGCCTGGTGGGAAATAGAGGCGTCAGACGGGCCAAGTGCTCCTGAAGAAGGTAGCACCAGGAAGTCGCTTCCCCCCCCCAATTCCTTATAAAGTAAAGCATCCTCAGCCTTGTGGGATTCTGCTGCCAGTCGACACCAGCCCTGCAAGGTGGATGAGGTCAGAAGAGGACAGAAGGGTCCCTTTATGGAGATGGGCTCTGGGGATGGATCCCTTTTCAGCCTCCGGGAGTTGACCAGGAGACCCTGGCTGAGCCACTCCCGAGGGGTGTCTCGTTGCCCCACCGGCTCTCTTTGCTCCTGTTTTCTTCGGGGTCCCCTGCCCGACCCTCCTCACCAGCCCAGGGAGTGCTGCTGGCAGAAGCAGACTCCCGGGGCGGAGCTACCTGGCTGTCTGCCCTCCTGATGCCAGGGAAGAGTGCTCAGCCACTGTTCGGAGGGACGCAGGAGAAGTGGGCCCTGGGTAGGTGCCTCTCTCTCTCCCCCCCCCTGCTTTGAGCAACCCCCTCCTCTCCTTTGCTTCGCCAGTGCCTACTGCGGGGGCCTCTGGCTGGCAACCGTCTGCGTGATGTGCAGAATGGCGGAGGCCTTGGGAGATGGGCCGGCCCGTGAGAGCTATTCGGGCATCCTGGCTAAGGGCACGGCATCATTTGAGCGGCTGCTTTGGAACGGTAGGTCCAGGCAGGGCAGGGGGCTCCTATGGAGGGGTCAGCAGGGCCGGAAAGAGCCCCTGGCCACCATCTCCCCCTTCTCTCTTGCAGGGAAGTACTACAACTATGACAGCGGCCACGGCCCCTCCTCGGACAGCGTCATGGCCGACCAGCTGGCTGGGCAGTGGTTCCTACGGGCGTGTGGGTTGGGCGAGGGGCAGTCAGAGGTGAGGGCAGGGGCCATGAGCCTTGGGGGGGCGGGGGGGGGCTGTGAGCCGAGCCTCCACGCGTCTCCCTCTGGCCCACAGGTGTTCCCTCACAGCCACGTGCTCAGCGCCTTAAAGACTATCTACGAGCTCAACGTGCTCAGCTTTTCGGGGGGGTCCATGGGGGCTGTGAACGGCATGCGCCCCTCGGGGCTGCCTGACACCTCCAGCGTGCAGTCGGACGAGGTGTGGGTGGGTGTGGTGTACGCCCTGGCCGCCACCATGATCCAGGAGGTGGGTAACGGGGACTGGGGGAGGGTGGCAGGGTGGGTGCGGGATGCCAGCCCAGCTGACTGGGCTTCCTCTTGCCTGGCACAGGGCCTGGTGGAAGAAGGCTTCTGCACTGCCGAGGGCTGCTACCGGACCGTCTGGGAGCAGCTGGGCATGGCGTTCCAGACCCCGGAGGCCTACTGTGAGAGGAAGGTCTTCCGCTCACTGGCCTACATGCGCCCCCTCAGCATCTGGAGCATGCAGCTGGCCTTGGAGCGGCGGGCAGCACAAGGGCAGCCCTTCCCAGCTCCACCTGCAGCCAAATCCGTTGGCCCGTGAGCCAGGTGACGTGGATAGGCAGCTGCCTCCGCTTGGCCCTCCTGAGCCAGAGCAGATCCACGGGTGGCACCCAGGCCACCCTGGGCGGTATGAAGGAAGCCCCGCCGCCCCTCCTCCCCCGAGACGGGCAGAGCTGAGCTCTTCGGCAAGGAGGCAGCTTGGACGTCTCGGTCTTCTTCAATCTTCAACACATCTCCCCCCCCCTTTGATTTGCACACAATCACGCTCTGTATAATCTGAAGTTATTTTTAGATGATGAATAATTTTAATTTAAAATAAATTGAACTTGGCAAAAAGACTTTGCCAGAGCACTTGATGATGACGACCATGACGACAGAAGGCAGCAGGGGTGTCGTTGCGTGGGTGCCCCTGGCCTAGTGTAGGTGGATCTCCTTCCTGCAGCCTGATCTTTCCTGGCGGTGGGGGTGTCTGTGCTTCTCCTCTCTTTTCCTTCCAGGGCAGGAGGGTTGCTGCAGCCCTGTTGCGAATCTCTCTGCCAGGGTCCTGCCAGCCTGTCCAACTGCTCCCAGGACCTCTGGAGACGCTGGGAAGCTCCAGGACCGATAAGTCCCCCCAGACGAGATGCCCTCAATAATTAAGTGAAATGAGGTTCTTGCTGGTGGTCATTGTGGCTGCCTGGTCAAGTCGAGGGATTGCCCCTGCTTACCCAGTCGCCAGGTTCTTGGTCCCTTCTTTGGTGAAGGGACCAAGCCGCAGAGAAAGCCATTCGGTGGTCACTGTTCCAAGGCGTCCCTTCAGAGCAGCAGTTCAGGAGTCTCCCTTCCAGAGAGCAAAAGAGTCCCAGGTCAGTCCTGTAGCCAGCTGGGCAACGCTTGGCCCAAGAGTAGGAGGAGGGGGGCATTGGCATCCCCCCTTCTGAAAATGAAGCCAATGCCTGGAGGAGGAAAACAGGGACGGCAGAAGTGCTGTGAACATCAGCCAGACACCACCACCATCCCCGCCCGGCAAAGTGCTTCCGAGGACTGCTTGGAGCTAAGGGGAGGGGGATTGGGGGCCATGTCACTTGTGTGCTTTAGAAGGGGAAGGGAAGGCCACCGCCTGGGGTCTTTTTGGTGGGGGGAGAAAGGGGGGAGGGGGCCCAATACATACTGCATTGTTTGTCTGCTTGCAAAGGAACTTCTGTTGCATCCCCAAGATGACTTGGTGGCTTTAGGGGAGGCAGAGCAGGGTCACCACAGGTACTGCAGGCTCCTCCTGGGGGCTGTGTGGCCACTTCCCCCAGACTCCCAGGAGGGGCCTTCTCGGACATCTTAGCCCTTGCTTGAATTGCAGTCAAGGCACCTGTGGCTCAATACGATTGCCAGACTGCATAAACACTACCGAGAAAATCTTGTTTTCCGTGACATTAAAAGTACTGAATAAATAAAGGAAGCCTCCCCCCTCCCCCAGCAATGTGCAGCACAATTCTCACTGCCACTTTTGGTTGTTGCTCTCTGAGCGTATTGGTTATTTTCTTGCAGGCATTTCCAAAGAACCTTTAAAACCAGCCCCAACCAACACCCACAGGGCAAGACACTACAACAGGGGTCTTCAAACTTGGCCCTTTTATGAGTCATGGACTCCAACTCCTAGAATTCCTCACCAGCAAAGCTTAAAGCCCACAAGTCTTAAAGTTGCCAAGTTTGAGGATCCCTGCACAACAATATTAAAGTGAGAGGAAACCCCACTTCTTACTGGCACTGATGAAATTACCTAGTTGGGTCATGAACGAACGAACGAGCACACGCGCACGCGCACACACACGCACACACACACACACACAACCTACCAAAAAGCATAGGAGCTGCTTAAAATGCCCTTGTACAATACAACCTTCACCTGCAAGCAGAAGCGCCTCACCCCCCCCCCCCACCGCCCAGTGGCGACAGGGAGGCGTCTCAGCTTGGAACTCGTGGCCCAAAAAGCCAAAATATTTTTCTTCGCTGACCCGAACATCTCAAGGATGGTTTGTCTTCATGCTGACCTAGTAGGAAGGGATGATGGTGATGATGATAAGAAGAAGAAGAAGGTCACACAGATAGGCTTATTTAAAACATTGCAATCCGCCTTTGGCTCCCCCCTTGGGTGAAAAATGAACCCGAGGCCTGGAAGGGGAAAAACCGGGCCAAAGGTGTCCGAGCCTTCCCAAGGGCCGCTCAGCAAAGCCTCCGAGCCCCCCCTGGGAGGGGGGCTTCACTGCAAGCGCTGCCTTGTGGCTTGTCTGCGTGTAAAGTAACTTCTGCCGCGTCCCCTCCCCTCGCCCCCCCGTGCTATTGGGTCGCTTCAGGAGAGCCAGGGTTGGGCCACGACGGGCACGGTAGGGTCCTCATGAGGCTGCGTGGCCCTTTTGCGCCCAGAGGGTCCCCGCGGCGGCCGGTTGCGCGGATCAGCTTCTCCCGGAGATCAATCGCTGCTCGGGATCTCTGAATGGCGCTCATCTCCTCATCTGGGCGCCGTCGTTCCCGCAGAGCGAGCGAGCGAACTAGCGAAGTAGCGAGCGCGGGGTGTGGGGGTCCCGCCGCTCCTCTCTGCCTTCGGGGGCTGGGCGGCCGGCGGAGCGAGCGAAACTTCAGGGGGGGCTCCAGGAAACGGCCAAGGCAACCCCCCCCATTCTTATTACGAGTTCGGGACCTTTTTGGAGAAATGGCAAGGCTCCCCCCCCCGACCCTCCTCCTCCCCAGGTGGACTGCAGTAGGTTTGGGGCAGACTTGCTTCCCTTCGGACCCCACCAGGCAGGCCAAGGAGTCACTCGGGCAACGATGTGCGGGCAGGAAGGGTTTTTTTGGGGGGGGGGGGGTGCTGGCTTAACGTGGAGCGAAATCGCTGAGCGAAGCAGCGAAGGGAAACTGATCCTTCGCCAGTTTTCTCCAGAAACTGAGAATTATGTTCCGGCAGCAAACCAAGAAAAGCCTGGAGACCCCCAGGATGGCCTTCGGGGTCTGCCCCCCGCCCCCGCCCCGCCCCCCCCTTGCTGCCGAAGTGCTGCTCAGCGCCCGCAGAAGGCCAGCGATTTCGCAGAAGCGTCCCACCCCTCGGGTGGGCATCCTGCCCCTCCCAGCCGCGGGGGGTGGGGGTGGGGGTGGGAGGAGGCGGCAACTCGGGGTGGGGGGAGCCGGTGCGAGCGGGGCTTTATAAGGGGCGTCCCGCCTGGGGCTGGCACGTCTAGATTCCTGGACACCACCATGGCGATTGGCCTGGCAGCTCTGGGGCTCCTCGCTTTCCTGCTCGGCTGCTCCGGAACCTTTGCCGAACCCCCAAACTCGGAGCCAGCCGCCAAGGTCAGATGCTGGGTGGCGGACGGAGGGTCCCAGCCTCCCCCGGGAAAATCCCCCCGCCACCAGCCTCTGCTCGGGTGGGCGGCAGGAGCAGCTGGTGGGAGCCGGCGGGCTGCGCAGAGGGTGCCGCTTCCTCGGGGTTGACCGCACCCGGTGCCGTCGCGCTGAGCGCCAGAGGCCCTGGGTCCCCGACGGACGGACGCCCAGCGTTTCCTCCTCCGTGCTCGGCCGCGACTTCGGCAGCCTGCCGCCGGGGCTGGTGCTCTCGCTCGCTGCGCAGATGGCAGAGCGATCTGCAGGCGGGTGTCGTCCCGGACGCGGTCTGGCAGGCGCCTCGACCGACGGACTTTGGGATGGGCCGCTTTTGCCAGCCCCACCCGGCGTGGGCAGCCTTGGGGGTCGGGCACGTGGGAGCAGCGGGTGTTTTCAGATCCCCCGGAGAAAATGGAGCCAGAGTCTCTACCTGTTGGACAGCTGGGCTTGGCTAGCGCCCTGACTCGCTTTCCTCCCCTCTCCCGCTCTCCTTTAGTGCTCCCTGACTGGCAGATGGGTGAATGAGAAGGGCTCCAAGATAGTCATCTCCCCCAGCAATAATGCTGGGGTGTTCAGCGGCTCTTACTTGACGGCTGTGGCTGCCACCGACACCACCATCCGGCCCTCATCTCTGCAGGGCATCCAGCACCTGGAGCCTCAACCCACCTTTGGCTTCCTTGTCAAATGGAGCTTCTCTGGTAGAGCCACTCACTATTTGGGATGGAAGCAAATAGAATGGGGGGGGGGTGAGGGAATCTAGTGGATCTCCCCTTCCTTAGATCTGCTTCTTGCAGGTTCTTTCACTGAATGTTCCCCTCCCCACCACCAGCCTTAGCCAGAGCTGCCCAAAGACTTTGGAGTCCATAATATTCCTTGACCCTCCAGGGACCACTAGCCTGGAATAGACCATTGGGAGTTTGGTGGATGGAACATACTCCCCCCTCCCAAGTGCTATAACACCATTACCTGCCAGTGAGTCTCTGGCTGATTCCTCCCTCAGCCTCCACCGCCGTCTTTGTGGGCCAGTGTTTCCTAGATGAGAACGGAGAGGAGCAGCTGAAGACAACCTGGCTGCTGCGTGGAAAGGTGGGATCCGCGGCAGAGGATTGGAAGGCAACCAGGTAAGGAAATGCAGGGGCTGAACTGCTGTGCCCCCCAACTGGAAGGGGCCTGCGCACCTCTTTTTCTCTCTCTTCCCTCCCCACTCCCAAAGTGGCTCTTGAAAGGATGCCCCAATGGTTTCTGCACCCAGGGCTGAGCAGCTCCTGTGGGAGGGGTTGGAGACTCTGTTTCTGCCACTTCCCCCACAAAGAAACACAGCAAAGCTTTTGAGGAGCTTCCCCAGGTCCTTCTCGCTGACAATTGTGGTTTGGGTGGCAACACAGTCTGGGTTGCCCACAGCTGGCAACACTCAGATTTGGCATTAATTGCTCTACTCAAATTGGAGAGCAATAGCCCAGCACAACCCCCATATTTGTATGGGCCAAAGAGGCCACCTGGGTGCCTTCCTGGAGCGCAAGGCCTGCAGCTCTTCTGCTCCCCACCAAAGAGGCCACCTTCTTGGACACCTGGATGGAGCTGCTTCAAGGGAGGCCCCCAAAGGCCGAGGAGAATTCGCCCAGCCTGCTTTGGGTCAGTGTCCTTCCCCTCATCAGACATGGCCTGCAATGCGTGGCTGGGGACCTAGCCGGCCCTGTCTGAGAACCAGCAGCGTCCATTTCCTTTGCCCCCCCCTTTTCATTCTCACGTGAGTCGGTGGGAGGAGGGAATTGGATGCTCAGCATGGGGAAGGGACACCAATCATGCCACCGTGAATTTTGACATTTCTGTCCTTCCTGTTTCATTGTAGGGTTGGCACGGACACCTTCTACCGCATCAAATGAGAGGGTGAAGAGAGCAAGGCTTCCCTGGTTTCTGCCTGGGGGGGGGGAAATGGGGGGGTGACCCTTCCTACTTCACCCATGAGACCCTCTTCTCCAATAAAATGTTTGCATGAGTAGCATCGGCCTCCCTGGTCTTTCAGAAGCTCCCTGGGTGCCAGTCTGCAGGTTTCCAGGAGAGGCTGGGTAGGACCTCCACCTGGACGGGGGGGTGGGGGGTGGTGCTCAAAGCTAACTCTGAGGTTCAAGGCCTTTTCTGGTACTTTCCTCCTTATTTTGTCTTGGCTTCTCCCTGGGGGGGGAAGTGTTCTCTGCAGGCAGACAGGCTTGATTTGAGGAGCCCTCAGGAAATGGGGGTGTAAGGGAGGTAATTCTCTGGTCTCCTGATTTGGCCACTTCTTGTCTTTAAGTGTCTATGGAGATTCTCAGTCATCCAAGTCATAGTTGTCCCAAAGATGCTTCTTCACAAGGCAACTGGACCTTCTTGTTTTTCCTTTGAAGATGTTTTACTTCTCACCCAAGATGCTTTTCCAGCTCTGAGTGGATGGAGGGGAATGGAAGGATTTATACTCCTTGCAGACAGCTGGTCATTTGCATTCTTTTTGAGTGTCACTGAGGCCACCTGGTGGTTTATCTGTGTCATCAGGGTCACCTGAATAGTGCAAATGAGTGTGGAGCCTTGGAACTGTTGAAAGGACTGTGTGGTAGACTGAAGATAGATGTCATATCTCTCCCCCGCTGTTGAGAGACATTTTGGACAGAGCACCACTGGTTTGAAAGGTGGGGGGGTCAAAGAGGCCATCTATGTCAAAACTGAACAGCCGTCTCTCAACAGAGGGGGAGGAATATGTCCACAAGGCACTTGAAAGTTTCCCAGATAAGATAAATCCACAACACAAGAGAATTCATTAGGCAAGAAAAGTCCAGCGTTCACACAGCACGATCCAAAGTCAAGGCATGGTGTCAATCCAAAGCAAGACAGGTATCACAATGACCAGGAAACAGCCAGGTTGGGAACACATTGTTCCCAGCATCGCCTCCACCCCTCTGTACTAAATAGCCAGCTTCTGGTGAAAGTCATCAAGAAGGGTGAAGCTTTCTCCTCACAAGTAATCTGGCTGACCTTCTCTGCTCCTGCCTTTTGTCTGCCCTATGTGTTCTTGGATCAGGTCCAGAAGGCATTTCCTCTTCCTCATCACTGTGAACTTTCCCCACCTGAAGCCTCAGGGCTGTCCTTCTGCAGCTGCGCTTCAGCCAATCCTCTCAAACTGTTGCTTGGAGACATTGACCAACTCCCCTCCAGATGTGCCTGGGACTGGTTCATCCTCCTCCTGTTGTTTAAAATATAAATTATCGCAGCCTTTTTCTTATTTTCTTCTTGTGATAACGCAGGAGCATAAATGTCTGACAGTGGTTTGTTAAAAGAACTGTGGTTTGATATGCAATATGCAACAACAATATTCAGGGAGCGTACAGAATACAAGATAATCAATTATATTCAAACGGTTGAAGTGAGCAAACAGGTTCCAACTGCTGTTCTTCTCAGACATAGTCCCTTAAAGTAGGGGTCTCCAATCTTGGCAACTTTTAAGACTTGTAGACTTCAACTCGCAGAATTCCTCAGCCAGCCAAGCTGGCTGAGGAATTCTGGGAGTTGAAGTCCACAAGTCTTAAAGTTGCCAAGGTTGGGGACCTCTGTCTTAAAGGGATGCTACCCCCAAATACTCTGCTGACTCATTCTCTATATATCACTTCTGCCGGTCAGCTACTAAATCATAATTACCTTGACACCTCAGAGCTGACATCTGGAGAGATATCAGGGGAAGCTTGAGGGGGGAGGGGAGGAATCATCACAATTGGTCACCCATGATGCACATTGGGTCATCCTGGACTGAATGGTTGTCCACTCTTATCTATGAAGTTCTCCAGCAATGGAGCATCCACAACTCCAGGAGGCAAGCTGTTCCATTGATTGATCACTCTACCAGGAAATTCATCCCTATTTCCACATTAAATCTCCCTTTGACAAGCAAAACAAAGGCAGCATGACATACAACAGGACAGAGATTGCATCGGTCATGCTTGTCGGTGATTTGTGCTGAATTTCAGAGTCACACACGCACGCACGCACACACTCTGTTCATGCACAATTGTAATACTCGGCACAAAGACAACGACCGGGAGCGGACACGTCCTGCAGAGCTCCCGAGGGCAATGGTGGGGGTTGGCCCACCTGCTCGTGGCTCGTTGCTTCTTCCTGTGGGGGTGTCTTTCGCTCCCGGTGGTGCAACTGATCAGCCACTGAGTTCTGCCGTGTGGGAAATCAACCCCCTCCAGAGAAAGAAATATTCTTGGAAATATTTAAAAGGCAGAATATATTTCCCTAAAGGATTTTAAAGGCAGAAACCAACACCCCTCCAAGTCTCTCTGTCCCAAACAGAAACCAAGTCTGTAGAATTGCAGATGTGATAATCTTGTCAGAAAGACTGGAGTCAGGAAACTGGGATTAGGAAGAAAGATCCCTAGAATCAACAATCCATCACACCAAAAATCTAAGAGTCATCAGCCACAGCCCCAGGGAAGCAGAATATGACCCTTGGGACATAATAGGATTAACCCACCACCATCAGAATACCAGAAAGGCACACTCAGACTCAGGTCAAAGTTCATGCCACAGGAACAACTCCAAACAAAAGGCTCAAGAAGGTATAAAAATCCACTCCCTACATATGCTCATTCTCTTTTCTTCCAGAGCCATCTTTCTGTCTGGCTCTCCTCTTCAATAAACTGCAACCTTCTTTCTAAAGCAGTCGCCATGTTGTTTATTCCCAGCTTGGACTGAACTATGATGAAGACTTTTCCTTCAACAGCCGGTAAACCATTAAGCTCTGGTGAGATGCCAAAGGATGCCCTGCTATTTTATCTAAGGAGGGAGGAGGAGGAGGAGGAGGAGGAGGAGGAAGATTGATGAATGGCAGCGTGGCTCACAGGCTTCTGCAACTTTTCCTCCCACAGTGGCTGCAGGTGGAGGAGAAAGGAGACTCTCCTTTTTTGTTGGCTTCAAATCTTTCTTGTGAATTAAATGATTTCCTTCTTTGTGAATGGTTTTCCTCTTCTTTTCCCTTTTATGGTTTTTTGTTTATTTCTCTGTCTTACAAACTGTTAAGAGGCTTTTAGACAGAGGCGTGATACGATTGATTGAAACGATCACATGATTTGCCTTGCTTCGTTATTCCTGGGGGTTATTTCAACACCAAACACGAGAGGGAGCAAAATACTAGTGTTTCTCAACCTTGACAATTTTAAGGCATGTGGACTTCAACTCCCAGAATTCCACAGCCAGCAATGCTGGCTGTGGAATTCTGGGAGTTGAAGTCCACATGCCTTAAAATTGTCAAGGTTGAGAAACACTGTGCTAAACTAAGGGAGTTCAGTTTTACTTAACATTTTTTGTGAGCAAAAGACTACTTTTTTTTTATCAGAAGGCTGCTAAGCTATCTATAGGTTTACACTTATTTAACTTTTTGTGAGCAAAAGACTTTTTTTTAACACAAGACTGTTTTTATCAGGAGCTCAGACTTAGCTTTATTTAACTTTTTTTGTGAACTGAGTGACGTTTTTTCCCTTCTCTCTTTTTTTCTTTTTCTCAATTTCCCTGACTACTCTGGTGGATTTATAAGCAGTGCTGTAGGATTAAGTCTTTGACACAGAAAAAATGGCTTTCTAAGGACTCGGTTTGCCAGCTTCCTGTGGAGTTATTAACCACCAGGAAACAAAAAACATGCCCTGACCTTGCCAATTGGGGGAAGGGCAGGCAGGTTGGCGCTGGCTTGCCCATTCAGCTGACCTGCCCATTTCAGCCACTTGCTGCCCCCTCCCCCNTGAATACAGGGTTACAAATATAATAATCATAATCTAACTAACATTAACCAACTATATAAATAACCAAGTCCATAATGCGCTTTAACTCCCCTTTAACATAAATATAATAATAATAATTAAAACATAAACAAATTAGTATCCTAATTATTAAACAATAGAATATCCATATTGTTAAACAATACTAATACTAAAAGTAATAGTATAATTAAAACTAATAAAAATTTCACTATAATAAACTATTAATACTAATAATACTCTAAAATTTACTCATAGGCTAAATGGAACTTTTTAGTCCCGTATTTATTCTGAATATCCTAGATAGATGGATAAACCTAATCCTGTTTGAATGAATGTCTGGTTACCTGTATTTATAGCTCCACATAATCAGATTTGTTTTGAGTGTTGCAACATAGTGCTTTAAGTTAACAGGTGCCAGGTTCAAGGAAGCCCAGGTGAAGAACACATCTGCTCTCCAAAGGATGTAACCATGTGCTGTATGCACTTGATTTAACTTGGGGGGAGGCTGGGGGAAGTAAGTGAAGCTGAGTGAAGATATTCCACGGACTGACAGTTTGGGGAGGGGTGAATCCGGTTGATCATGAGCTGGTATTAAGGTTTACCTCGTGACAGAGAGAGCAGCGAAGCGTCAATATTTCTCTGCTCTTATTGCATCTGCAGAGATGACCCAGACCTTCCTGGGGAGGGCTGGCCAGAGGTCTACCTTCAGGGCCCTGCTGAGGAATTTCCAGTGTGTGCTGCCAGATAAAATTGCTCGGATCCCTTCTCAGTTGGGTACCAAGCAAGGTGCAGATGTGTTGGAGTTGCCCGGGGAGCAGTTTTATCCTGTTATCTGGGAACAGTTTGATCCTGTTTTAAGCAGAAGCTCCTGCGAACTAGACCAGCGCCCCTTCTGACTGGTCAAGGCTACCCGGGAAGTGACATCTGGTGGGTCCTAGTGACGAGAGGCTGTTCTTGGCACCATTTGGCGCACTCTCTCCTTTAGAAGCGTCACTGGACCCTTCTGGAAAATTGTCATCCAGGAGAGGAGATTGTGCTGCAACTTGAAGACCGAGGATGAAATGGACTGAGCCCCTTTTAGGGTTTATGCACTGGAGACAAAT